AACGCCATCCATGGGTGCAGAATAATGCTCCAGTTCACCGTTCTAAAGATATATGAATTTGATAACGTTTACAACTGTAATCAAACTTTTTATCCTTCAGACTGGCTTGACTTGGACGCCAGCATTGAAAGTTAGAATCGGCAAGTTTGTCATAAAGTTAACATGTCAAGGTCATACCTTTTCAGCCCGATTCCAAAGATCGATCGAACCCATGTACTTCTCAGGTCGTGTTGAAAGAAAGAACTCGAACTCGAATCCAAAAACACCGTAGGTGTGTCTGACAAATTCGATCGCATGACCGATCTCCTCTTCAATCTAGAAAACAAAAATGCGGCAGTCAACACAAAGTTCACTTGCGTGGGCATCAAAGCCAACGTTTGTGCAAATGTACGACAGTTCAGGGAAGGTATGGGGAAAACACTTAAAAATTTACATAGGATAGGAATATTTGAAAATGAAAAAGACTACAGCGGATGAAGGTCGTCAAAAACGGATGCAAGGGCTACTGAGTGCATAAATCCAGCGTTTATTTCTTCCCTTTAAAAAATGAAACGCTGACGTATCGCCCTCCCTCCTCGAAAAGCATACAAAAACGAACCTGGTCTTCTCGGCAGAAAATGTGGGCGTCATCCTGTTGGAACCGACGCACACGGGTTAGGCCAGTGAGCGCGCCGGAGAACTCATTCCTGTGAAGTACACCAAAGTCAGCGTAGCGGATAGGCAACTCGCGATGAGAACGCAGGTTTTGGCTGAACATGAGACAGTGACCAGGACAGTTCATGGGCTTCAGTCCAAAGATTTGGTTCTCAATTTCAATTTTGAAGAGGTTCTCCTGAACAATGATAGAGAGCAGATTGGTTACCGGTGGGCTAGACACCAGTCTGATGGAGCATAAAGCAAACATTAAAAATGAAGTGACAAATCACGTGCATTGAGAGTAAATAACAGCGGGGCAGCTTACACTGTAGTGCTGCCAGTGGCCGCTAATTTCCCACAGTTTGGAGTTGAACATGTTGGGTGTGATGACTTCCTGGAAGCCGCGTTTCCAATATTCGGATCGCATCAATTCGACCAGTTTGTTATAGATGTGAGCACCTGCTGGAAGGAAGAAGCAACTACCCGGGGAGAGTTCGTGGAAGAAGAAGAGTTTGTGTTCGAGACCGAGCTTCCGATGGTCACGTTTGGCAGCTTCCTCCTAAAATAGAAGTAAGGCGCAACGTGACACCAACACAAGAACAGGTTGTTGCAATCAGGACAGGTCGTCAAAAGAACTTCTGGTAGACAGTCGCCATTGTGATTTACGGCATCTTTATCCCAAGGTCCTCAAGGGTCTAGCAGGTACATCCTGGGGCTGCGCGAAAGAGACTCTGTCGACTACTTTCAAGGCGCTGG